TGCAGCTCCTGGCACAGCATTTAAAACCCAAATATAATTCTCAGCCTGAAAAAGGGTCATGCGCCCCACAGGGACCAGGAGCTGTATCAGAGACAGTAACCAAGGCAGGAGGTGGTATGCACACAAACGGTACTGACACTGAGGATCCAAGCACTGCCTCAAAGAGGTGTATGCACTGCTCTCCCCTGCTGGAACCAACAGTGAAGTCACAACTCCTTTCCGTGTGGGAATGACTCTTTCAGTTCCATATACCTTCTTTCCTTCTTAAATTCCTCTGTCATTAAAGAGGAAGGCAGCTTAAACTTTAAGGATTTGGCCAGCTAAAGTTCAAGAGATCTCCATGTTCACAATCTGACATCATGGAAACCTCTGAACCCACCAGACAGTCCAAACAGGCCTGGCCTTCTCCGTTGCTTCCAACGTAATCAGCAAGGGACTTGAGTCTAAAGATACCATAACAGGCAGGACTCAGTCTGCAGCAGAATGAGCAGAAGGTGCCAGTTTGGTAATTTATTAAGCCATAAAGAAAGCTAGTTTGAACAGCAGCCCAAATTAGATTTAGAAGTCAGAAGGGGCAATCTGCAGCAAAAAAAGCAGGTCAATTCCACCACATGTGATTAAATGAAACTTTGGTAATGAGGGCACAACTCTATAATTGTTCCCCCTCACAAACAGCAAAAAAACCTTCTCCCCTCCAGAAAATAAAAAGCTGCCCAATGTTTTGCCTAGAAGTAGGCCCACCTGTCCCACGAAAGGGTGAAAGTAAGCAGAGGACATTCCAGGAAGCTTAAAGTGAAAAGGGAGAGCAACCCCACCGTTTGCCTTCTGGTAAATTGGTGTCTTGTGAGTGGCCATGTCCACTATGGCAGCCTTTTTTTGATAGTGCCCTAATATGCTCTTTTCTGCCCCCAGTTCCTCTGCCACAGAACTGCTCCATGAGCATGCAGAAGGGCAAGAAAAATGAACAAGAATTCATTTTTTAAAGAACAAAAGACAACTCAAAAGAAGGAGAGAACTTTCTAAATACAGGGAGTAAGTGGTAAAGAGGAACCCTGAAGATATGAAGCAGATACAGCAGTTGGCAAAATTCGACCACAGAACTTTCCAAATGTCTTCAAGAATGATGCCCACAAGAAACAAAAAGAATTGTCAAGAACTCTGAAAAAAACCCTCTCATCTTCAGATCAAAATGGCAAATAAGATTCAAGAGGAACGTGGTATACTATACTACCAATGATTTCATTTTCACATATGTACTGATTCGCTTTGAGCTAATATTGAATGGCTAGGAAATAAATCTTAGAATTGTGGTGGATATTTTGACAAAAAGGTAGGCCCAGTGTGCAACAGCTATGAAAATGGCTGCATCTGAAATACCGTAATATTGGGAAAAGTGCAGCAAGGTCAAGCAAAATAATAAATACCAAACTGAGGAAGAAAACTTACTACACTGGTTAGAATTTGCCCCAGTGATGGGGCTATAGATCATCTGGAACCCTTTCACATCTGCCCTGAAATCCAGATTAATAAAAATGTCAATCCAGCATATTCTTAAGCAATCGCAACTCTTCAGAGACTTACTCTCTACCAAGGCTCCCTCATTGGGTTTGGAATAGCCTTCCCCTTTCTTTCGGATCCTTCGAATTATTCCACCATCTTCATCATCGGTTAGGTCTTTTCCCTTGAACTCGAACAGTTCTATCTAGAGGAAGAATTCAGAGCTTGATGTACCACAAAGAAGAGGTATTTCCCTACTGAGGAGCCATCAGACACATATCTAAATTCAAAGACTTATGACAGCCAATTAAATTAGATTAAATTAAAATGACAAAAGAAAAAATCTAGTCAATTAAAAATGCTTCCATTCAATAGTATCATGGAATTGTTTCTTCTTCAGTTTATACCCCATCTTTGTATTCAGGAAATGTAACATTAAGTGGGGTCCCTGCCAGGAGAGGGCAAGGCTGAGAAAAAGGCACATTGAGCCAGGCTGCACTGGCCCCAGGAGGCAGCTGGGGGGAAAGACAATACACACAGAGCGGCTGTGGAGCAGGGGACAGACAGTGGTAGAGAGAGCGGGCAGGGCAAGAGAAGGATCCCTTGCTCCTTAAATCTGCCCCAACCTTCACCAGTCCAGCGTACCCATCTGCTATGGGTCAAAGAACACGGCTTCAAGCTTACCTCGAAAAACAACGTGGCATTAGGAGGTATCTTAGGGGGGCTGCCAGCAGAGCCATAGGCATATTCTGGTTTGCAGACAATCTGACAAAGTTCTCCAATCTTCATAGTTCCCACAGCAATGTCCCAAGCTTTGATAACCTCACCTAACCCCCCCCCAAAAAAATGACAATGTTATTAAAATGCAACTAACGTTTTGCTTAATTCCTAAGGTAAAACGCTGAGAGGTACATCGCCCACAGGGATTCTTCAGAAGCAGTACAACTGTCACCACCAAGACGGAGTCCCACCCTTCAGGAATTGCTGGAGAACATAACCTTTCCTTAGAGACTTTTCCACCCAATTTCTCTTCTTGCCAATTTGGTCGAGAACTATGAAAAGCCCAAACGGATGTGCAATTGAAACCTTTTCGGTATAATGGATAAACAGATGGAAAGAAAACATGGGAACTTATTTCTTTATACAATAACAGCAGCGAGACTTTTATATGTACAGAAATGGAAAGATTCACAAATACCTACAGCTAAAGAACAGATAGTGAAATTAATGGAATTGGCGGAGATGGTGAAACTGACTACTTTGATTAAAGAAGAGACATTGACTGGCTTTGTTTCTATTTGGAAACTGCTCCTGGACTTTTTGCTTGAGACTGAAATGTAATTTTAATTTTGGGGTTTGATGACAAATATATTTTATAATTATAGAAATACTTGGTATTAGTTTTTCTAATATTTTTAATCAATACAGATTATGTATTATTTTAAATATTAATCTATGCCTGTACCAAAGAAAGCCGAAAGTTACTTTTTTTTCTTCTGTAGTCTCTGATCTTTTTTTCTTTTTTCTATGCTTTACTCTTTGTTGAAATTTAATAAAAAAGAGAGAACTATAAAAAGCCACTTCTGCCAGCTCTAGTAAGAAGTTACTGTCATCAGTAGTCACTTGCATTCTATCTGCAAAAAGGCAAAACTGCTGTGGGAGTAAGCCCAAAACTCCAGCTCCTGTCCAACTAAGGGCCCACATGAACTTGCTCTTGGGATTGCTATCTTTATGCCATAATAACAAGGATATTATTACTGGTTTGATTTATTACTGTCTCTTTATGCAGCCAAGCACTCTTAGCTATCTTCTTTCCTCTTCACAGAGGAAACGATATTGATTTTATCACCTGAAGTGGCCAAAAGTTTCAACACAATTCATAACGGAGGCTTAACAGAAGGAAATTATAGGCTGAGTCTTGCTGGCGTGCTGACGAATGCAAACGTTTCCTGTCTTTGGAAACAAGACCTTCTGTACAGAGCAATTTTACCCAAAGGGGATCTAGATTCCCAAATTTGCATTTCCATCAGAGCATGTGAAGACAGCCACTTCTTAGCATGAAGTCTAGACTTCACCATTCCTAAATGTCCCCCTTCATTCCCCAGAGGGAGTTTTTTCTTTGCAGAACAAATGGCAGTCAACAGAAACAGGGTATTATGGAAAAGACCGTCTGGATAACATAATTTCTGTGGCTTTCCCAATCTTAGGAAATAGCTCACCACCCAAGATCCAGATAGCTCTTTGCTCCAAGCTCTTAAGAAGCCAAAGACCCCCATACTTTTCCACAGCATTTTGAGACTTAGTGTTTCACTGAGGGGTTTTTTTTTTAGTTTTCAGTTACATTTTATGTTTAATTGTTTATGTTTATTCCTTTTATTATGTTCAGTTGGCCCAATCAAGTAATATCGTGAATTCAATCCAAAGAATGATATCAATCATATGAAATTGTATTTGTGAGAATCAGTGCACTGTATCGTGGAACAGATGATAGCCACTGAATTCTGTTTCCATGATGAGTAGAGAATTCCCTGTATAAGTTTGGCCAGGAAGCACTAAGCAGTGCAAATTGAGAAAAGAGCCATTTTTCACTTCAGAGGACACAACTTGGTCCAATCGCGTTGCCCTCTTCCAGGCACAGGAGATACCACCTTTTCCAAAATCAAAGGAGAATTTGTCCTTTCTGTCTCGGCTGGAATCAAACTTTGTGCCGTCCAGAAGCCATCCGGTGTAGTGAACTGTCACTTTATCCCCTATCATGGGACAGTCTGTCCCTGTCCCTTCTTTCTTGACCACCTGTCAGGAAGAGAACAACCATATTTACGACCGAATCGCCAGAAAGCCGCGCTCTACTTTCGGGCAAAACAAAGGCTGCGTCAGAGAGGCGTCTTCTTGATCAGGCCCGGCAGGAGAGGTTCTGGCGCTCCCGCTCGATAACCTTTGATTCGCTCCGCGAGCATCGCAGAGTTACAACCGGCCACTCCAGCGCAGGGCGACTCTTCCCAACCGCCCGGAGGAAACGGAGAGGCTCCCGCGGCAGAGGGTCGCGCAGCCCTTCGCTCGGGCCGGGCCGGGAAGGCCCAGCCCCGCCGTCCTCCCCGAACGGGTCGGCCCCAGTTCCGGCCAAGTCTCTGGGCGGCCTGAAGGGCACCTTGCAGCACCGGAACCCGGGGGTTTTACGGGCCGACGGCTCCCACCGACGCAGCCGCCCTGGGCGGCTCGCCACCTCCGGACCTCCGCGGAAATCGCCAGGCCCGCCGGCAGACAGCAGCAGGCAGCCCTGAGCGGGCTCCACCCGCATGCGGGAGCCGCGTCCGAGGCCGCCGCCGCCGGGCCGCGAAGACGCGCCTCCTGCGGGGAGGGACGGGGGGAGACGCCCGCGGAGGTAAAAACGGGGGCGCTGCCCGAGGGGCCCGCCGGATCGCCGCCCTGCCCAGGCGGGCCCGCGCTGGCCACGGAGGGGGCGCGCCGTCTCCCGCCGGCGGCCCCGCAGGCCGCGGCTTTGCCCAGGCCGCTCGCGAGCCCGGAGGCGCCTCCGCCCGC